TGGCTTGGGCACATATTGCGATTGCCTTCAGAAAGGAAGGCGAAACAGTTACTACTTGCTCAACCAACCGGCTAAAGACCCGGGGACGTCCAAGAATTACCTGGGTCAGCTGTCTGAAAGAACGTTGCTCCGGAGTCAAGTTATCTGCTGCCTAGGCTCATGCACTGTTGTAGAATGAGGAACTTTGGAGATGCTGTTTGACGCTTCTGCCTCCGCGACCCGAAAAAATTAGGGGTTATTGAAACTGTGTGACTGATATTTGTATTTAGTCTTAAATCCGTGCCTCGATTCTCTTGACAACTTCCTTTGAAAAGCTTTACTTTTATTCTTTGAAAGTGAAATATTTCTTTCAAATTTTTGTCAATGAAAGCATTCTCTTTTCGATAAACCAATATTTGACATCGTTCATGAGTTTTTAATCATGTTTCGTATTCGTACTGAAAGACAGCATGAAACACTCGTATCTTACGTAAAGGAAATAATTAATTTATCACTGAATAAGCCATTGCCTAAGTTTCAGGCCATATCTCACTGATATTCGTCAAAAATATGGTTATTGGTCAATTGCTGTTGTTGCCAGTAGTAGGCAGCCTTTGAGTCGGATTGCAAGGTTTTTGTCTATGCCGCTACTTCAATAGTTTCTTAGCAACAGACGCAGAGTTGTTCGTGTGTGCTTTCTGTGGTTGACTTTGTCACGGGAACAAATGATTAAAGCCTCCGTTTTGCATGTACTGACAGTATCAGTGTGCGCTGATCATCAGAATAGGTTTCATTCCTGTGCGGCATGTCGTATGATCGCAAAGCCATTTTTTAGTTCGACTTATGCGTTGCGAGGATAAGGATGGGTCTATTTAACATGCCGCTCGCCTTCTCCAGCGATTATTCATTTTTTTAAAATTGATACGTGAATGATTCCTCCGTCATGGAAATTTGTCGCATTTAATCAGGAACGCAATCGTTTGAGTTCCGGTTCTTCCAAAATAGACAGACTGCGATTGAGGTGTGCAAGTGAGTGTCATTACGGATTTTTCACCGAGTTAAATAGTGCGTCAGGAAACGAATTGGATCATGTGACTCAAATGTTTTGAAGACTGTGCATTTTCGGGCTTTGGTATCTAGTTCGTAGAACCTGTACAATAGGGAGATCATGAGCATTGAAAATGTGTCTTGAAAGGACTGTTCCAGAAATCCGAATGGAATATTGGACCTATGGAGCAGGCATAGTATACAGTGTCCTGGTTCTTTAAAACATACTTGTGCTGATTTAGGCCGTTGGACCAGTCAGGATTCAGTGTCAGGATCTTTCAGCGGCGGGTTAGCCGTTCTAGCCACTGAGCTATCGCAGCAGTACAGCCTGTACGTCACACAAGCTTTTCCTTCGACTTTAAGCCTGCACGGTTGTTGGCTGAACTAACGATCGGCTTCAGACAACCTCTTGGATTATCACGGGTATCACGTCCTTTGTTTCTGAAGTTGGTACGTTCGGCGGATGTTCAGAATATTGCGTTTAATCGTCTCAAGCGCCATTATTCTGTTCGTATCTCTCAACTTTGTGTGATGCTGGAAGAAAATTGTAAATACCATAGCTTCAAGGTAGGTATGCTGCATTGCGTTGAATGACTGGCGTCCCTCACATCTCTCCACAAAGCGAGCTGTATGCTTCTCCATCGCTCATCTCGTTATATGCCGTTTGAGAGGAGAGTAGAACTGAAGTTAGCTTGTAATGACAGCAAAACTTCATGAATCGTCAAACTGTATGTGTAATGTTTCGATATCAAGCTTGACGATAAGTGATCTATTTGTTTTTGGGCTGCTTCTGTACAGTTGATCGATGCAGATGATTTCAGTCGTCGGTTGACTTTATTTTGGAGCACAGTTCAATGGTATAACGGTTGAAAAGGTCATATCCATCTTGCTTTCTCAGTAAGCCGCTTATTAAGCTATGATCCATAGCACATGATTTGCGACGGTGCAAAAATTCTGAAGTCGAAGAATTGTTCAGTTTTGTATGTGAAGGTAAAAAGCTAGTTCATTGTTTGTTGGCATATTGAGCGTACTTACGTATTAAAACCTTAACCGTACTAGCGTATTTCAGCTATGCTTGTTACTGATCTCAATATTGATGCGCGTTGATCCGTAAATTAGATCTGAATTATCCTTTTTTTGGTGTTTTACTTGTCGATCGGAAAGGAGCTTGCTTTTTGGCTTAGCTGTTTCATGGATAAGTTTTCGTGTGTGTCTTGCTATTAATGAGGACCGATTACCTGAACTGCAACTGGAATGCCTTTGAATAGAAAGAAAGATTGTTAATTCAGTTGTTGCTTCGATGCTATATCCTGAGATGATTTACGAGCGTTTAGTTTCAAGTCCGTTTGCCGATGCGCACAGGTGTTCGCCTTACCTGTTTACGCGATATAAATGTTCAGAGAAGATGCGGTTTTTTTGGGAATGTGATCAGTGGCCGGGGGCAATAGTGGACCCCGAGATCACGTCGATGTCATGGCTGGAGACGACAAGCGGTTCGGAAGGATTTTTGGCTTGCGGTTCGCAGTCAGGCGCACTCGGTATCACCTTGGCCCGTATAAACGATGCCGAAAGCGCTGGCCATGCGGCTTCGCGATCCGCTACCGTCGCTTGCTCTGGGCCGATCAGTCGCTGTAACTACAACCTCCTCGGTCACCGCAGCGCCGTATGGTTCGTGCGATGGAACCAGAAGTTCTGCAAAATGGCCAGTTGCGACTCGTCTGGCATGATCTGTGTGTGGATGCGCTACGAAGACCGCTGGTCGGTCGAATTGGTCAACGATCGCGGAGTGCAGGTACGTAGAATAACTTATTGCTGACCGTGAAGTGACATTATTTACGGTGGTGTCGTCAACGGCAGCAGTTTTTGGCACCTGTGAAACGCTTACTCATGTTATAGATTCGCGATTTTTGTTGGAGCGGTGACGGTTCTCGCGCATTCGTCTCTTATGTAGATAACTTCATTTTGGTTGGTTCTGCTGCTGGTCATCGACATTGGTCTTCGGTCATCACGAATCACAACGTGTGCTGTTGCGCATGGATGCCATTCGTCGAAGGTACACCAGTAGCTGAACAGCGCGCCGTCATCGGCTGCAGCGACGGCGTGCTAATCGTGCTCGACGGCACTGGCGTCATCCTCTGTACCAGAGAGATCCGCAAAAACTGTTATATCAAGCGGATTGAGGTGTCCTCAATTCGTGATCAAGGTACGTCTCGACTGTTAGGTCGACGTTGATGCCTGATGATCGTTTTCTGTCAAGCTGTGGTACCGTCGAAACTCTAATAGCGTGTGGCGGGAAATGCGTTATCCCTGCTAATTTTTAAAGTTTGTAATGTTTAATTTTTCTGATATTAGCAAGTATTCAGTGCAGAATCTTATTAAAATTGATTTGTTAATACGGCGTAAAATAATAATCATAAGCCACAACTTTCTTATGGTAACATCCACTAAGTTTTCCATGCTGAAACGAATGTTTACAAAGAAGTTAGCCAAATGATGGCAACCGAAAGGAGAAAGACAGCATAGAAATGCAATGCTAGTATTATTACCTTTGCAATGAGCAAGAATCACCATTATTACAGTTTTCTTGCAGTATATGTATGTATGAATAGTTGTTGCAGACACCTCCAATCGCGCGCATCAATTTTGTACAAATTTCTGTACTAACATCACGAAAACTTCGATGGTAGCTGCCGCTTTAGCCCATATGACTGTCAAGACTTTATGAATGATATTATGGATAGACAAACTGCACTCTCTCCTACCTCCCTTACGTGCGATCTATTTCTTTATTCATTGTTCCATTGGTACCGTTGTTCGCGATTCATATCTTAATTTTCTAACTGCGCCTGAGTGTACTGTTCTCTGACATGCCATTCCCTACCTCATCGTTTCCGACTTCTCATATATTGAACTGCTTTATTATAGTATATTTTTACTGGCTACGTTTGATGCTTATTTTGTTTCATTTACTCCTGTTTGCTATTTAATCTCTGTCCCTTCATGATTCTTTAAGCTGAAACTTGCAAATTCCAACTTGAACAGTAAGTTTCGTTTATGCCAATTACTGTGAGCAAAATTCTCAATTTCTAAGGAATGTTTCTTTTTTGAGTTCTCCAAGTCCTCATCTCGAGGCACACTCATAGACTTAATCTTCATTTTACGTGGCCACTTCTCCTTTCGAGTCGCGGAGGCAGACGCGTGAGACAGCCAACGTTCCCGATCCTGAGCCAAAGTCTGGGCTTCAGATGAAAACAACTGGAGCCTGGAACAGACTCCTTCCATATATTTGCTCCAGGTTAATCTTAGCTGACCCCTGGGCTTTCTGTCGATCGGTTACGCAAGAAACAGTTGTTTAGCCTTTCTTTCTGGAGGCATTCACAACACATTCCCAAACCATCGAGCTGTGACCGTTCAATCTGGAATAGCAGAGGCTGTACACGAAGGCTCTCCCGGATGTCAGTATTGGAGACCATGTCGAGACTCGTCTAAGAATGCCCATTTCAACATATTGTACCGAGTTCGAAGCTTTTCAGTCATGCTCCATGACTCATGACCGTAGATGAGCCTGAAGATAAAAATCGACTTGAACACTGAGAGCTTAGTTTTCAGACTGAGCTCCGCTTTAGTCAGAGTGGATGGGGCTGTTTCACACAGAACGCTGCAGGCTGCTCAAGTTCGCTGGTCTATCTCTTCCTCAGATCTTTCATCACTAGTAAATGCGACTCTGAAGTACTTGAACTTCTCCACCTGCCCCACTGCCTCTCCGTTAATCTGAAGAGAACAGCAGGCAGCAGAATGAAAAAGTAGTAGTCATTTCGTTTTAGATGCGTTTACACCCTTGTCGGTCGCGTTGCACTGGGTTATGAACCTTTCTAGGGAGCACTGAAGATCGGTTTCAGAGATGCCAATAGAAAAAATGTCGTCTGCAAACAGCGACCTTCTCATCCTCTCCTACCCCGATACACTCATCGCTTTGGCTGCTTCTGACTATTGTATCCATGTGCAACACAAACAGGAGACGGAACAGGACGCAGCCATGGCCAAGACCAGTGCCAACGCTGAAAGTCTTTGACCTAACGCCATTTACTATGACGCAACACCTGCTATAATAATAGAGTAATTGGAGAGTCTGTAGCAACTGGCCCTTGATCCCGTATGTTCGCAGGCATCACCATAAACTGCTGCGCGAGATTCAGTCACTGGCTTTTTCTAGGACAACAAAGCACATATGCACCAAACGGGCATACTCCCACGGTTTCTCAACATTCTGGCGCTGGTCAAGTATATGGTCAGAAGTGCTTCGACCTGGCCGGAAGCCGCACTCCTCTTTATGTTTCTTGGAGTTGGTTATTTCAGGGCACCTCTTTTCTATCA